CTGTATGGTGACTAACATAATAAAACAAAAAAAGAAAAAAAGCACAAGGACAATCTAGAAAATCTTCTGTAGTAAACCTCATCCCTTTTCTAACCTGCTGGTACAATCCTCGTCAAACTCTAAATTGTAAATATAATAAAACTGCCATGATAAAGTGAATCTGGATACACTACTGATTTTTGTTCTCTGCTTAGCCTCTCTTCACCGAAGGGGGGAGACTACAGTTTTTATGTTCTTGAGACTGATGGGTAGAGGGTGGACAAGGCCTTACAAGGAAGCCTTAAGAAACATGGAAGGTGGGTCCCTGAGTCCTCAGTGTTGTCCCACTTAAATATCCCTATATTGGACTTAGGAAACCTGGAAGATATTTCTGGAATTATTCTGTAGGTTTCAGATAGCCACAGGATACAGATATCCTATTTAAGCTAAGTACACAAACATCAGCAGATGGCGCCAAATGACAAGCCAGACCCCTAGAATTATGACAAGACAACCAGACAGGCTGACCCTGAGAATACACCTCATTTTATACAATTACAACATACTGAAAAATAACCCTGGATGAGAACAATTAGCATTTCCACAAAGAATAAACCACACTGCCTTTACTGGTTTCAGAAAGAGATCAAATTATTTTCCACTTAAGTTTCACTCTAAATAAAATACGAATTTTGACTGTGCTCTAAATAAAACAGGCAACACAGTTGATTTTTATTAAGTGTCTGTTGTAGAACAACTAAATGCCAAGAAATCAGAATATCAGAACACCACCACTATGGTAAAATACACTAAACTACAGAAGACAAAGAACATCTAATGAAGAGAAAAGCTCTATAAAAGCAACCAAAAAAACAAATACCCTTTATTATAATTACATAAAATGACTTGAACATGATGGATTTCAAAAGATCATAATCACTGAAGTGTAGTAACATCCTCTGAAACTACTGCTTTCTAAATGAATTACAAAGCCTAAATATTAGAATCTTTAAAAAGCAAAAACAAATATATGATGGTGGATACAATTTACGTGATTATAAATATGTGAGCGTTCAGAAGACAGGAGCGCGCAGGTTAGCTAGGGAAGTGCTTACTATGGCATTTTAAGTAACATATGAAGCTTGTCAAATAAGCAAAACGGGTTGTCAAAATAATTCAACAAAGTTCACTAGATGTGTGTGTGTGGGGGGGACTAATGTAGAAAGCTGAGAAACCACCACCAAAAACCACAAACTTCTGCAATCTGGGAAATTAATTCCCAGTGAATAACTTTGTATTTGTTAACTTTCAGTTTTAGTAAAAAAAAAAAAAAAAAAAAAAAGTGTTATTCTATTTTTAATGCCCAAGTAAAAATTCAATCTAATCAATATATTATGAGGATGAAAATGCAGATCTGTAATCAGCTATGGTGTAACAATGAGGTTTACAACAAAAATTCCCACAGTCTTAAAAGGTCACATTATCATTAATAACCTACATTTTAAGTTGTCCTGCTGAGCTTTTCCTACGTATAAGCTGTATGAACTGCCTTTTCAACATTATCATCATCAACTAAGGATAACGCATGCATATGTTTTCAGTAAGTAACTTAAGAATCAGTAATTTGTCAAGTGTTCCTTAGAAACGACAATTTACATGGTCCTTTGCTATTCACTGCTTCCTAATTCCTAGCCATCATTTCCTTACTCTAAAACTCCGTCATGCAAGCATGAAAATTCGACCGGGAAATACCTTAGCTCCTTTCTCTTGACCTTCATCCCTATAGGTAGCCCAACTAATTCTCAATCAATCTAGTCCAGAGTTCTCAACTTCAGCAGTACTGACACTTTGGGCAGATCTTAGCTTGGGGGGGGGGCTCTTTTTGATCTAGGATGTTTATCAGCATTATATTCAGTCTTATCACAAAAGCTGCAGTGTTCAGTTTAGTACATGAAAGAAACAAAACACACACGGAACTGAAAAATCATGCTTTTCATCTACTCAACACTTTCTTTGGGAATTAAATCCTTTCCATCTGTTCTGAGTGGGGCTGACACCCTGAAGCCCCGAGAACAGATAAATGAGCCAAGGCAAGCCAGAACACTCACTCTTCTCTCTGGTCACAGTAATTACTTCTGGCTGAGTATGACTCAAGCTAAGTCAATAGAGGTTCTCTCTAGGACTTGTGCTGGAGCAAAGGTGGATGCCAAAGTTCTCATTTTTGTTGGTTCTCTAGCTACAAGGACAGTGTAAAGTCAAGCCAGGAGCTCCCAGTAGCCATCTTAGCTTGTCTGGCAATAAAGAGATCGGAAAGGGGAGGAGGGACAGATGATATAATAATAACCCCCAAATCCAGTTATATCTGAAGCCACCCAGAACCTTCCAGTTAAGCAACAGACTCTTTTTTGCTGAAGCTAACTGAACTGGATTTTTGCCATTTGTAAGTAAAACAGCATAAACTGGTGCTTTCTGAAAATCTGAATAATAAAACCTAAATAATGGGTAAGATTAATCATCCATTGAACATTAAGGCCTCTCACTGAGCACTTACTATGTGCCAGACACTATGTGGTTAAAGCTACACCTAAAAATATAACATGTAAATCCTCATGACAGGCTCTGTAAATAAATGCTCTTTTATAGCTATTTTATAGAGGAGAAAAGGAAGTTAAGTAAACATGTTCAAGGCCAAATGCCTATGTACTGATCAAAGTTTAATGACTCCATATCAGTTCTGTTAACATTATTCTGCACCTACCTAATAACTCAGCCACCAAATGTTTACTGAGTACCTATGTAACAGAATCATACTAGGTATTAAGGATACAAAAATGAATAAAGAAATGATTATAATATACTGTGCTGAGTATGTGCTAATTTACAAAAATTTATGAAAACGTTAATTGTGTAGTTGAGATTGTGTAATAAAGTTCAAAGGAAAAGGACTCAAATACAACTGTAACAAATCTTGTTTATATAATTGTTTGAAAAAGAAGTGATAACTGATGAGGAATATATAAGCTGCATGGAGTCTAGTAAAAAAGAAATCAGATATCAGAGAGAAAAAAATTTATCAATGTCTTTCCAGGATACTCAGTAATAGGGTTTCCTTGTATCAATGAAAAAATTCTAATCCATTTGTGTCAAATAATTCCTACAGTGAAGGTATAAAGTGTATTAGTTTTGTGGCATTTTTATCAAAATCCCTCAAACCAAATGCTCTCCCTTTTGAATGTGTGCTCACCAAACCAGCGAAAAATACCTTGCAAACTTTATCCTTTAAGGGAAAGAATGCACTAATCATCAGTATCCCTTTAACAGTTGTTTTCCAATGGTGTAGTTTACATAAGTTTCACATGAGTTTGGTTTGTGTGCACCACCGTAAGTGGTGACAAATTCTGGGTATCATGACAAAAGTCTGAATTCCTAGAAATATAAAACTGAGGAAAGTCCCTCTACCACAGTGGCCCCTCCAATGCAGTATCAGCCTGCTAAATCTAGTCTGATCCTCACACAATCTAAAATGCTTAAGTTTACATGGTGAGAAAGCTTCATAGATCACACCTTTCCTGAAAAAAAATATTATGTATAATTGCTTTCTAAAATTATAATCAAACTGAAAGCAACAAACCAAAATTTAAAACAGTGAAAATCAGAGATCTTGATTATTTACTTACTGTGATATCTGACAATACAAACATAAAAAAACGTATTAAGAGGTAAGTAAAACTACCTTTAGCTCTAACACTAACCTGCCACATATAAAACCAAGATATTTTCCTACCCACCTACAAAATACAAAATTTTCTAAGATAGACACTATTATTTTTCAGTCAAAACTTTTAGAAAATTTCATAAATTAGAACTAATGTCTAACTTTTGGTTCTTTAGTGGGAGCAAGAACTTAATGGTGAACATGTGCTAATCATTGTACAGCATATAAGCGAAGCATAATATTTAAAATTCAATTACAAAAATAAATACAAATGACAATGGTTCACTTATTTTTGCACACAATTACACTATAATGACAAAACATATACAGAGAATTTCACTATATAACAAAGTCACTCCATATTGATACCTTTAGTGTTCCTCTATATTGCAGGAATTAACTTGAAAGTGAGCACAAGTTATTACTGGTGTGTTAAAACATTTTTGCATCACTAGAATTTACTGGCCTGTGGTGTTCCCTTAACTGCCTCTATTTACTGCTTCCCTGAAAGCAGGTACAAACTTAATATATAAAGGAAGTTTTTGGAGAGACTACTAAAAGGGAAACAAAAGAATTCTACAACTCTGAAAGGCTCTGCATATGTAAACTGAAATGTGAAGAAGACAACTGAAATAAATGAAGAAAGATTTCTAGCACTGAGTGATCTCATACTACACATAAACTCATTAAAAACACACACAGAAAATTCTTTCTGGACCTCACCCAAAGGGAATAATCTGAAACAGACTTAAGTCCTCAAGTATTTTATGTTACTGGAAGTTTAAGTATGACTTACCTTACTATTTTTAGATAAAATGATGGCAAAATTATGTAAAATATAAATATAGAAGTTGTTTTATAACAACTTTATAACAAGTTGAAGAAATTATTTTACAAATAAATATCAAAGTACTCAATTTTAGTAATATTAAAAGTTTCAACACTTAAAGTAAGCTTTTTATATCATTGTTTACTTGAGTTTTTTTAAACCTAACAGCTTCTCTTGACATAAAGTAACCTTTTAAATTTAAATTATACAGGTTATAAAAGGGTATATTTAAAATATGAAAAAAAATAAAAAGCTGGGATGTTTTATGTATCAAAAAGGCATTCATTTTTTTCTTTCTAGATTTCTATGGACAAACTGAACAAACAGTAAACATATTTCTTCTTACAGAAATAATGAAGAGTCCTCTTTCATCAATCAGTGGGGTAACAAACTGTCATGATCTTATTCCATTATAAAGTAACAATTCATCACTTCAAAAGCATGAATGCAAGCTGTATAACTTTATTAATAACCCACCTTTTTCATTTTCTTTGTATCTACAAATGCCAACTGGAATCTCTGCTTGAAACATGGAGCCCACCATAATCTCCTATTTAAAAATAACATGACACATTAGTAAGATCTAGTAACACAGATTTTATATCCATTTTCTAGCTTTATCATCTTCCTGGGTAAACTTGTTCATGGTTTCTCTGTCATAAAAGACACAACCAATTAACTACCTCAGAGGAGTATTGTGAGGATGAATGAGTTAATAATAGATAAGAGCTTGGATATGATTGGATGAAAACGTTAGTAATAATGGGGTATAGTGCAATATACACAATGAATACAAACTCTACTTCAAAATATGGAGAAAAAGAAATAAAAATGAATTCTTATAATTCAATTAATAAGATAACTGCAAACACCCTGAAAAACAGAAAATGAAATTCGGGTACTTTAAGATATTTATAGTCTAAACTATGGACAATGGGTCAGCATCATCAAAGTCACCTGGGAAATTGTTAGAAATGTAAATGCTCAGGTTCTACCTGAGACCTACTGAACCAGAAACTCTGGGGATAGGACTCAGCAAGTAGTGTTTCAACAAGCTGTTGGGTGATTCCAACATACACTTCAGTCTGAGAACCACAGATCTGAGGTAAAGAAAGTAACAAAAAGGGTTTGTATAAAGCTCAGTAGAGGCGAAATAGATGAAACTCCAAATGGATAAGCAGGTTAGTGCCTGATCTTCACAAAACAATGCAAAATGAAAAAAGTAACCTCCCCGAAACATAACTAAATTTTATTTTAGGAAATGTGGTCATCAAATCTATATAGTCAAATCACAGATCAGAGGAAACTGGCTGTTCAGAAAGATAATGAGATCACCATTGATGAGATATTACAAAACAGAGGGACCAAGATTACACTGACCCTCCTTTATCTGGTGGCTAAATGTTAAGAATAAATTTACTGCATTTTCAAAATGAAGATGTAGGCAGGAAAGGTACAAGTTTAAGGTAACAGTTTAACAGTTTAAATAACAGTTGAGGGTCGCCTGGGTGGTGCAGTCAGTTAGGCATCCGACTCTTAAGGTTTCGGTTCAGGTTGCGATCTCAGGGTCGTGAGATCGAGCCCCGTTGTCAGGCTCTGCCCAGAGACTGCTTGAGATTCTCTCTCCCTCTGCTCCTCCAGGCCGTGTGCTCTCTCTCTCAAATTAATTAATTCATTAATTAAAAAATAACAGTTTAAATAATTCTTAGGATTTGAAAAGTTCCTCTCTCCTTTTTGTCAATCTGACAGTAGGATCTCATTTTATCTAGTATAACTCCAAAGACATCCTTTCTACGTAATTAATTTATTGCTACAACTATAAAAGAAAACCAGTCAATTTTCTAAAAAGAATATCACAAATTCTCCCTACTCTTACAGGAGAACTCTATCTCTTTCACTACAAAAAAAAGAGTACCCTACCATCACTTCTTGTGCCTCTTTTTACTCACCAATGCCTACTAGACAATAGACCAGTCATCAACCCTCCCTGTCTGAGGCACTTCTAAAAATATAGATACCTGGATCCATTCCAGACCAGTTAAATTAGAATCTCTGGAAGAAGGCCCTGGTAATCAGGACTTAAAAGTTCTCCAAGTGATTCTCACATGGAAGCAGGCTTGAGAGCTTCCGGACTAGTATAAAGATAAGATGCTTCCTTTTTCCTATTGAGTTTAGAACACTTCTTTTTACCTGCTGATTTGTTCTGTAGGGAAGGGAAGGGAAACAGCAATTAGGAGTATTATGTACCAAGTGTCATACGTATAATTTTCATTAAATCCTCACCAACTTCGACAAGGCTAAAATTTTTATTCCTGTATCATACCTGAGATGACACTCAAAAAAATTAATTTCCTCAGAAATGCACTATTAGTAAGTTCTGAGGCTACAACCTGGACTCAAATTTGATTTCAAAGCTGTCTCCTCTACCCCAGTTTCTAGAAAAATTCAGTATCTTACAAGCCTTAGAAGATGAATCTGAATCTTGACAATTTTTACTACAACAAAATCATACTAAAACAAACAGTCTGGATTTACTGTGGCCTGTTTTATTACATAATTTTCCTGGGAAGGGAATAGTCCCCCATGTTCTCCCTCCTCTGAGCTTCTGTTCCTTCATTAAAAATAATAATTCAACACTTACTCCAATATTCTCTTGTACACTTCAGACACAAAAACAATTTAAGTTGAAGAGAAAGTTTATGAGAACAGCTTAAAAGGTATATAAACTTGAATATATGGTTAGAAAGTAACAGTTGAAGGTAACTTCTAAGGTTTTTAGCTTTTTTCCTAATTTCTGCATGGTGTAGGAATCAGAAAAAAACTGGAGTAAAGAACGTTTGCCCAAATGGGCATAAATAGTGGATAACTCTGTGATCCTTGTTTTTAGTCTTTAGCCTCATCATTCATTCATCATTCACTCAAATTAATTAACACACACTGCACTGAGCTAACCTTCCCTCCTTACCACTCTAACCCACACCTTCCTTTACCATTCTAACACACTGAGAGATGTCTCTCTTTTATTTTTTGTCTATACATATTTTTAAAAATTTAAATTCAATTAATTAACATATAATGTATTACTGGTTTCAGAGGTAGAGGTCAGTGATTCATGAGCTGCATATAACATGCTCATTTTATCACGTGCCCTCCTTAATGTTCATCACCTAGTTACCCCATCCCCTCACCTTCCTTCCCTCCAGCAACCCTCAGTTTGTTTCCTATGATTAAAAATCTCTTTTGGTTTGTCTCCCTCCCTGACTTCATCTTGTTTTATTGTTTCCTCTCTTCCCCAATGCTCCTCTGTTTTGTTTCTTAAATTCCACATATCAGTCAGATCATATAATTGTCTTTCTCTGACTTATTTCACTTAGCATAATATACTGAGATGTCTCTCTCTTCTAAACATCTCCTTGGAAATCCAGAAATGGATCAATTCTGGCAAAAGCCCACAATCCTTGGGTAGCCCAGTCCGAGTTCATTTGAATACTTCATTATTCCAATAGAAACTCTATGAGATATTCTCTTATTTTAATTAGCAAGGGTGTCAGCTCTTTTTTAAGTTTGCCCCAGACATCCCAAACCAAAAAAAAAATTTTTTTTTTTTTAAAGATTTTATTTATTTGTGAGAGAGAGAGGGAGAGCACAAACGGGGGAGTGGCAGGCTAAGCAAGGAGCCCGATGCGGAACTCGATCCCAGGACCCTGGGATCATGACCTGAAGACAGACGCTGAACTGACGGAGCCACCCAGGTGTCTCCCAAACCAAAACACTTTAAACCACCACCACCACCACCACCACCAACAAAAAAGCCATTGTGAAGACTCAAAACTATTAACTAATTAAACAATCATGGCATAAAAAGTGCAGAGAGTCCACTCAATTTGATGATTAAAGCTATTCTGCTTCCAGAGAAATGATTATTTATGCACTAAATTTAAAATCAGACCAAGGACGGGGCACCTGTGTGGCTCAGATGGTTGAGCGTCTGCCTTTGGCTCAGGTCATAATCCCAGGTCCTGGGATCAAGCCCCACATTGGGCTCCTGACTCAGCGGGGAGCATGCTTCTCCCCCTGCTCATGCTATCTCTCTCTCTCTGTCTCAAATGAATAAATAAAATATTAAAAAAAAAAAATCAGACCAAGGAAAAGAACAGCAAAAGAAAAAAAAATTCGAGTGAGCTATCTCAATTAAGAATGATATTCCTTCTATATAAATGATTTGTTCTAATAAATTCTACATGACATTTGACACATTTCTCTAGTACGTTCATCTGCTTTGCAACAGCTTAAAATTAATTCTACTTAACTGTATAACTAAGTTGTACACTTATACAATTTTATAATCAAAAACATGTCAATATATAATCTTTAGATTCATTTTAGAAATTAACTTATTATGCATAGTAATAGAAAAGCTCAAATCTGTCTCTTCACCCAATATATTTTGAGTTGTAAATATCTACATTAATATGGGATGGAAAAACTTATAATCTAAATTATTAAACAAAATCTACTTAACAGAACCAAAGCCTCAACTGCTTTCCTGAATATATAAAAGAATTTACTTGTGATACTTTTTCCAGTGCAACAAAAATCTAAATTAGCACTAGTTCAAAATTTCAATTTCTGTTACTGGTTTGAGACTGATTTGCTCAAAAAAGTCAAATTCTTTCTGTATCATTATTTTATAAAAAAATAGTATTTTTTCTTACCTCAATGTATTAAGGGGAAATTTGAACATCTACCAAACATTTAAATGTCACAAAAGGGCTTACCTCAACTTTATCAATATATAGCTAGTAAAGTAATAATCATACTTGCTTTTTAATATTAATTTACCTAAACTTTGGGAAAATATGACTCTAACTACCTTTTTCCAGTCTTCTGATGGAATATAATCTTCATCTTCTTCAGATTCTTCTTCTATTTCGCTATCTACAATAAATAAGACAATAATATTACAAAATGACTGTTTATCCTGTCCACATCTGTATATCTGTACATTATTTTTACATCTACCATCAAACATTTAAGTATACCTAAAAGTATTTGCAAAAACAGGACCAAGACATTTCTGATCAAATAATACCCTATCAGTTTAAAACAAAGCAAAACAAAAAACCCATAAGCCTTCTGGGACAATTTTTATTTTAGGAAACTGTACTCTCAGTAAATGATTTCCCACAAAAATTTAAGAAAAAAATTGAATTAGCGGGTCAAGATAATCTGTTCCTAAACCTAATTCTTTCCTCCCTAATAAAATAAGAATTTGGACAAAAAACAAAAACTGGTTTCCAATCAATGCTCCGTGAGACACTGAGAACTTTGTAGCAACACTTTAGAGAGAGTGTGAAGGGAGGCTATGTAAGAAGACCTCCATCCTCCCCAACCTCTGATTTATTCAAGAGCAGGCAAGGTGCCATTTGTTTACATTTTGGAGTAAAAAATGTATTTACATAAAGGGGTAGGAAATTTGAAAACGATTACACTGTCAGCATCTTCTCAACTGTAAAATGGAATACAAAGTTCAAAAGGGTAACATTACATACAAAAATTAAATCTTCCTATGGAAAAGTTAAGATAGGAAGTATTATCTACAGCTTCTGTGCATACATCATAACTAAAATAGCAGATCAAAAGTATGAAATAAATACTGTTTTAAGATTCAGTCACTTAGGGGCGCCTAGGTGGCTCAGTCAGTTAAGCATCTGCCTTCAGCTCAGGTCATGATCTCAGGGTTTGGGATCGAGCCCCGTATCAGGCTTCCCTGCTCAGTGGGGAGACTGCTTCTCCTTCTTCCTCTACCTCTCCTCCCTGCTCATGCTCTAATAAATAAAATCTTAAAAAAAAAAAAAAAGATGCAGTCACTTAGCATCCCACTTTTTTTATTATTATTATTTTTTTAAAGATTTTATTTATTTATTTGACAGAGAGAGACACAGAGAGAGAGGCAACACAAGCAGGGGGAGTGGGAGAGGGAGAAGCAGGCTCCCCGCTGAGCAAGGAGCCTGACGTGGGGCTCGATCCCAGGACCCTGGGATCATGACCTGAGCCGAAAGCAGACGCTTAACCGACTGAGCCACCCAGGCACCCCAGCATCCCACTTTTAAACAAACTTTGGCAATTTACCTAAGAAGAAAAAGGAAAAATACCAGGCTTTCCCCAAACTTAATATTAATACAATAGTTTCAGCAACCAATCTCTCCTTACACTGATACGCTTTTCAACTGGACCATATCTTTGATCAAAACTCACAATAAAATATCATTAGCGTTACATTCACTTCTAAACTAAATATGTATCAGGAATCATTCACATGAAGCAATAGCCATGTTTCATCTGTTATTACACTGCTCCATTTCATGAGATGTTATTGTTCTTCAAATGTTTTTCTTTCTTTTAAAGCACAGAAATTCAGACCCAAGCTTAAACCAGTAACACTAATGGTTGCCTTTTTCTTATCAAAGAACAGTCATCCAGAGTAATGATTCCTGCTTACATGAAACATCATGGAGCAGATAAAGCATGCAAATATTCAAGGTACATACATTAAATGTTGTCTCAACTACTGCACATCTCTGACAAGATCACAATCTGTAGTAAAATTAGGAGAGTTCTTTCTGTGTATAACATGTTCTCACCTCAAGAGGAAACCACTTCTTGAGAACTGGGAGCCACTGATTAGAGAAAGCAATACTTATGAAATAGATAAAAACGGCTAAGAGGGAAAGAAAGTAGAAAATGAAAACTGAGAAGACTAGAAGAAATAAAAAAGATGACTATGAGACAATTAAGGAAGTATTGGGGGAAAAAAAGGAACACGTTTTTCCCCACAGGAGCCTGCCACTCCATTTGTAATTGAGCCCATGGAGGTATTCTTATTTCTTCTTTTCTTGGGCACTGCATTAGACCTAAAAATGTTAACTTTGGGGAACAAATCGACTGACTTTTTAGTGGACACAGATGTTATTTAAGTAATCTCTACACCCAACATGGGGCTCAAACTCACAACCCCAAGTTCGAGTCGTGCTCTCTACCAACTGAGCCAGTCAAGTGCCCCTGGAATGTCATCCTTAAGAGACACATGCACAGACTTAGATATGATGAGACAGTTTTAAGAAACTCAGAGCAATTTTATGGAGCCAATAAAGCCCCTTGGAAATGTTGGCCTGATACCTTGCTTATAGAGCTCCCCACAGCCTTACCAGGCCCTGCTAACAAACACTAGCTGTCTCTGCAGAAGTTTAAGACTCAAAGTCAACTATATGGTTGCAGCCTATGTACAAGCAAGGCCCTGGATTCCTTACCTGAGAGAATGAGCCTAAGACTCCACCCAGGTTATACCAAGCTCTCAAAGCATGCCCATAGCCCCTTCTCCTTGTCCTAAGATAACCTCCTGACATCCGTGACTCAACTTTGCCTCATTCTGATGTCAAGTCTCCACCCCAAAGTAAACATGGGGATATATGGTTAAAAACAAAAGAAGAAAAAGAAAAAAAGGAACACATTCAAAATCAAGGAGTATAGGGACACAACAATCTCTGCAATCTACTCATGGACAGTGGGGCTTTAGCACTGCTAAATGAATTAACCTAGAACAAAACCCATTACTGTTCAGCCAGATTTCAGAGTAAATGAATCCAAACAGACAAGTGAAAAAGAAACGGCATTTTACATCATATATTAAATAGTAAAAATTATCCAAACAATAGCAACCATGACACTTACTAGTATCAAAATATTTACATCGACGTGGGCGGATTATTTCTTGGGCATCTTGAGAAGCAACAGATTGTGACGGATCATCATTGGAAGACTGAGTTTCATCCTCTTGACCTGATGAGTCCTTTATATTCTCTTCCTGCAGAATAATACATTAAATTTCTTTAAGATGTAAGGAAAATTATTGCAGATGAAAGGTTACAGTATTCCAAATACAACGAGAAGACTAAAATAAATACACTAAATGCAGCACGGTGTTCTGGATTGGAACCTGGAACAGAAAAAAGGACATTAATAGAAAAACTGGCGAAATCTGAATTGTCTACAGTTTAATAATATGGTACCAGTGTCAATTCTTACTTTTGATAAACACACCATGGTTACATGAGATGTAAACAGGAAAAGTTGGCTAAAAAGTACATAGGAACTCTATGCTATCTTTGAACCTCTCTATATATCAAATTATTTCAAAACAAAATAAGAAAATTGAATACAGAACTACCAATTAGCCTTTAATACTTAAAAAGAGTAGTATTTTTTTTAAGTTGGTACAAATTTATTTAGAAGAGGCCCTGAAAAGAAATCTGGAATGACACAGATAAAACTATCACTTTTCAGATTATAGGGGACTTCCAATATTAATAAGTTACTACTTCAACAAGAATAAAGACTACAATCTTAATAAATGTGTATAACCTTACTTTATTTTCCCCACTACAGCCACTGTTATCATCATTATCAGCATCTTCATCATCTTCTCCTTCTTCTTCCTCTTCTTCCTCCTCCTCATCTTCTTCAGGTAGTCGAATAGTACTATCATAACCATAAAGACTGAGAAGTTCATGAATTGGCATGTCTCCTTCCTAAACAGACCAAATAAAAAGTTAATTTCTGAATAAATGAATATTTCATATTCCTGTAATTCACACCTTCATTCATAGGGAATATCCTTAGAACTGTATCAAGAATTCTCAAATCATAAAAGGTGAACGAAAACTCTGAAACCCAGGAAAATCCTAGTCTTTCAAGAATTTCTGTAAGAGACTCACCAATTCTAATCGCTAACAACAAAACCTTTAAGTATAATAAAAAAATGACAGTGGTGTAGAACTGTTCTGTGCAATCAATTCAATAAATGTACACTGGCAGTTAACACTATGAATAGATGCACACACTTAAGAGTACCATACATAATTTGGAAGTGGGAAAAATAATTAGAAAAGAGACTGGAAACTAAGTTAACAAATTCAAAAATGGAGGTGAAATTCACAGCCCAATCCAAACACATTAAAAGAAAACAGTAATGATATATAGGAATAACACTGGATTCCATTAGCCATATGTTCTTTTCTAGGATAACCTAAAATTATACATAAAATCCTGTCATGCAATCTTTGCTATCTGTTTTACAAAACTGTTATATAACCTCCATCTCACAGATGAGGAAACTGAAGCTCAGAGATTAAGCAATCTCTCCCCAAATCATACAAATTACAAATAGTAGAACCAGATTTCAAGTCTAATTCTAAAAGCCCATACTCATCAGTACATCATACTGCCTCAGCCAGGAATCACCCCTAACTCCATAAAAAAAAATACACCCTCTAAGGATGAAATGAAGAAATATCCATATGCAATGAAATGAATCAAGTTTTCTATAGAAGGTATTCACTCTAGTAATCAAGTGATATAAAGTATCAGGGAAATTGGGAGAGCATTCTGACTATAAAAAGAAAATTTAATCCAAATCACCTGAATGTACTACACACATTCACACATGCCCTCCCTTCTACAACCCTCTACCCCACCTCTCTTTTGAGAAAAATTTAAGGCAGTTTAGAACCTACAAGAAGGGCAATCATGAAACAAGACCTGTTTTGTATTTCTCCATCAGTCTTGTAGCATTATTCATGGACAGAAATAAGTCGCCCATGTGTTAAAAACATTGTTCTAGTAGAGATGGATATATCAGATTGGATGATATAACCTGATGACACTAGGCACTTAGATCCTACAACTAACTCCCATCACTCAGAATTTGTGTATGAGAAGCAAATAATGTTTATAATTTGAAAAAATTTTCTTATAGAAAGAGGTAGGAAGAAAATGCTGTTTAACACTTGTATTTCCCATTGTAAATGGATACTCTAGTTATAAATCAGTCTGTGAATCTGTTTCTGAAAGAGAAGTCAATTTGGAGAGCCCTGACTGACGACGGACAGCAGCCACAACCTGAAAGTGGTAACTCTATCAGGTAAGGTGCTACCACTCTAGCTGAGAGCAGCGGGCACACTTAACTGACATCTCCTATTGTGTTTCTCTTAAGTGCAGTAACACAAACAGTGCTTGAGGTGTTCAAGAAACTAGTCCATGCAGATATCTGGTCCATGTACCAAGGACCTGGTACAGGAGACAGAAATTTGGCATTAGAAAATCAGGATTTAAGAACTAAAACAGAACTTCAAGATCAAGAAAGTAGAGTAAGAGAAAGATATAGAAAAGGCTGGTTGTTTATACACTGATAACAAATAGCTGCCATAAAGTGTCTTCTATGTACCAGGCATTTGTGGTAAGTACTTTGATTCCACTATCTTATTCTCTCTCGTTTCTGAACAAAAGTAGAATAAGAATATTATGCAATCTCAAAAGATCTTTAAAAGTACCAGTGGGAGTATTTACTACCTTTAAGAAAACTAAGCAGAAGGAAACATCATGCCCTGACAGAGATTTTTTTTTTTTTAATACCTAGACTTAATCCCAGCTCGTATTTCCCATGAACTAATTCTGCACCACAAACTCGAAGGTTTAACAATGACAGTCACTACTATAAACAAGAACCACGGAAGTCACTAGTATGAATAAGGGCCAAACCAAAGAAAACCTTCAGCATAAGTTTGCAACTAACATTTACATGGACCTAAAGAATTCATGAAGTACTTCATATTTATCTCATCTTTAAAACTTCCTTAATTGGGCACCTGGGTGGCTCAATCGGTTCAGCGTCTGCCTCTGGCTCAGGTCATGATCCTGGAGTCCTGGGATCGAGCCCCATGTGGGGCTCCCTGCTCAGCGGGAGTCTGCTTTTCCCTCTGTCCCTCATTCCCCTCTCGTGCTCTCCCTCAACTTCCTTAATATAGGTTGCTATTACCTCTAACTTTTACAAGTGAGTTAACTGATATTTTGAAAGATTATGCAAAATAGGTATATTATCAATCAAATGTCCTCAGGCTCTCTACCTTTGGTCTGTCATATTCAAGGGCAACAATCACCTTGAGGGCTTAGCAAAACAGAGTGCTGGGCCCCACCCCAAAGTTTCTACTATAGTAGGGCAGAGGTAGGGGCAGAGTATCTGCATATTTTCTATAAGCCAGGCCATACTGATGCTCTTGGTATGGGACTACCTTGAGAACCACTTATCTCACAATACAAGATACCTGCAAATTTCCTTTCCAATGGGAGGTAATAAAGCTTGATCATTACCTTTAATAAAGCTAATCACTAACACCTGACACCTAGCTCACTTATGTGTCAAAAGGATAGGTGACATACTAACTGCATGGAAAGGAATTTTTTTTTTAAATCACTTTCGGGAATATGGAATATCTCATATTCATGGTTAGGTCAGTATTTTTTCCTCCTAGATAAGCATTTAAAAAGTATGACTCATTTTAGCTCTCCTCCAGCCATCCAAGATGTGAAAAGGAAAGGCGGCTAAGGGGGAAGAAGGTGGCCCCAACTTCCCTGCTGTCATGAAGAAGCAGGAAGCCAAGAAGGTGGTCAATCCCATTTGAGAAAAGGCCCAAGAATTCTCGTATTGGACAGGATATCCAGCCCCAAAGGGACCCCACCTGCTTTGTCAAATGGCCCCGCTACACCCAACTGCAGCAGCAAAGGGCTATTCTCTATAAACATCTGAAACTGCCTCCTGGGATTAACCAGTTCACCCAGCCTTTGGACCACCAAACAGCTACTCACCTGCTTAAGCTGGCCCACAAACAGAGACCAAAGACAAAAAAAAGCAGTGATTGGTTGGCCCAGGCTGAGAAGAAAGCTGCTGGCAAAGGGGATGTCCCTATTAAGAGATCACCTGTCCCTCCAGCAGGGGTTAATACTGTCACCATCTTAGAAGGCTCAGCTGGTAGTGACTGCACATGCTGTGAATCCCACTAGGCTGGCTGTCTTCCTCCCTGCCCTATGTTGTAAGATAGGGGTTCCCTACTGTATTATCAAGGAGAAGGCCAGGCTGAGCCATCTGGTCCACAAGAAGACCTGCACCAACGTTGCCTTCACACAGATTAACTCAGAAGACAAACAAGCTCTGGCTAAGCCGGTGGAAGCTACCAGGACAAATTACAGTGACGGATATGATGATATCCGCCCTCACTGGGGAGGCAACATCCTGGGTGCAAAGCTGGTGGTTTATATCGCCAAGCTAGAAAAGGCAGAGGCTAAAGAACTGGCCATCAAACTGGCTAAGTGTTGAGTTTTCTGTACATAAAAATAATAAAAGTTCTCTTTCAAAAAAAAAAAGAAATGTGACTAACCTTGCAACAATTCATTTCTCAAAGAAAAATTTAACAACACTTCTAAAATTGGCTAAGCAGAGAACAGAGGAGAGTCAAAGTGGCTAATCACAGTACATTCGGAGGAGATCTGATTGAATGTGAAGAAACAGTAACAGAACTGGCAGATAAAGAAAAGTCACTTAAATCAGAGCAAATGACTACTGCACAAGTATAGAAACAAAAATGAATACCCAGGTTACTCTGATTAGAGCATAAGATATCTGTAGAAACTAAAATAAAAAAAGGTAGACCTGGTATTTTTACCTATTTTCTCTAGTTTTACTTAGTTTCTAGTAGGAGGTGTTATACTCTACTTTTGACTCCATTTCAGAGTAACTGTTGAGCAGTGATTGACACTGGAAGGGCTTAGGGAAAATTATACACAAAGCAAAATGTTCAAGAGGGACTTTGGCAGGGAAAGATTTAGTTTGCCAGAGACAGAGCTAGGATGGAATCCCCTGCTATCATTCACGTGTAGTATAATTAGAACCTAAACTAAATTAGTGGATGTGGTAAAGAAAAAAACTCAAGAGACCCTGAAGAAAATGACCATGAGTAAAGAATGATCAAGAGGTCCTGGTGACATCGAATCTCTATTCCACACACTCCTTGTGCCCAGATACACATTCATAGGACTTCTAAAGAAGTTCTAAAAAATTAAAAACAAAAAACCCCCCAAAATTAAAAATAAAGTTCTAAGAAACTTCAAAGTTAATTTTAGGTGGGTTCTATTATGTGTAAACAAAATATCCTTGCCTATTCCATTAAGAAAATGCTTGATTGATTTTAAAAACAAAGAGTATATAGTGGTTTTATGCTTTTGCTTAGGTATTAACTTTTAACTTAACCTCTGTCACCTAATACACCAAGTTAGAAAGCAACAAGTTAGTAATGAACAATCAAGACCCACTGAGGAATACAAGAGAGTTTGACATTAGTATGAAAAGTATCTTACTTGACCTAAAGTATAAAGATCTTGCAGTAAACACAGCCATAAGTACAGTAAACCAAAGTCAATTTTGCCAAGGAATCCTCAGTTTCAAATTCAGGTAGCATTTATTGTGTCCCTACTATGCACTAACGGAAGTACATAAGATTTAACAAGTATTTTGTAAGGGTAATTCATCATTGCCTGCCCCACCCCCCAATCCTTTCTCTTTCAACTTCTATATTCATCTTCTTCCAGGAAATGCTTCCTTCATTCCAAGCATGTATTTTGATTGAGAGCTCACCTTCTGGACTATATGGCATCTGATCCAATTGGAATCACTACATTCCCTGGCCATAGGTTTGGAATG